CAGAAAGACAAATACTGCATGACCTCACTTATATATGAAATCTAAAATACATCAAACTCATAGAACCAGAAAGTAGAAAGACGGTTACCAGGAGCTGGGGACGTGGGGTGGAGTGAGGGAAACAGATATACTCGTTAAAGGGTACAAGATGGTATATAAAGGTATAAGATGAATAAGTCCTGGGAATTGAATGTACAGCAAGGTGACTATCGTTAATAATACTGTACTGTATACTAGGAATTTGCTAAGAGAGTAGATTTTATGTTTTCTCAGCGTGCCAAAAAAAAAAAAAAAGGAAACAGAGGTGTTGGATGTGTGAATTAGCTTGATTGTGGCGATCATTTCACAATGTATACATATATCAAACCATCATGTTGTACACCTTAAATATATACAATTTTTATACCTCAATAAAGCTGGGGGGGAAATAGTGTATGCATGCACCATCAGTGTGACTTGTATCCAGAAGCGATTTTTAAATATAGAAAGAGCTTAGAGGAGGTAAAGGCACTTGAAGTTGCAATGGCTGAGCAGACACAGTGGTTTTCGTTGGACTGTATGCTCCTTCCGGGTGGCTCGGGTGGGGGACTGATGGAGATTAAGACAGACGAAATCAGCATGGCCACCATACCTCTTGTACCACCACTATTACATTAGCACACTTGAAGCCTGCATTAATAGCTGTACATATTTTGTCCAAAAAGCGGGGGAGATTCTGCTCCTGCCCCCTGCTAGAGGGGACCAGTATTGTGCTCTCTTTCCACCAGCTGCTAAAGGAGTTTGCCTGGAGGAGGGAGAGAATGATAAAAGGATGGAAACTAGGTCAAAATATTAGAGAATCAAGTACATTCACAGAACTGAGGATGCAGAATTTGCAGAGGGGGCACAGCATCTGCATCTCCCCATGTAGTGGATGCTTCCACAATGGAAGAACTTCAAAAACATGCATCATCTCCAGAGGAGAGGAGATGGATGGTGAGAGGTTCACAGAACGTTACCAGGGAAACTCTGTGTCCTTCAACTGCAGTCACACTACCCCTTCGTGTCTGGCTGGTGTGGTGCAGTGCTTGATAGCTTGAGCTCTGTAGCCAGACTGCTTGGGTTTGAACTAGCCTCTTACTTCCTCCACATGCTTCAGTATTCTCTTCAGAACAATGAAGATTAAAAATAGCCTATGTCTAATAAAGCTGTCGTGCAGATTAAGCGGGGTAATCCTGCTAAGGTGGCAGCCGAGTCCAGAGTAAGTGCTCAATAAATGTTAGCACCTGTTTTCTCACTGCCTCTATGATTACTCCTTGCGCAGCGACGGACAGGATTGCCCAGCGAATGACCCTGGAGCTTCTCTCTGGGTTGCCAGGCAACAAGCTATCTGGGACCGGTGGCTCCCCCTCCTTGAGCAGGAGGAGCTGTACAGGATTTCAACTTTCCCAAGGGCACTGAGCACTAGTAGATGACATTCCAAGACAGCTCCCCAGGACAGCTGGCTCCTGAGCCTGGATTGTTTATAAGGCAAGTTCTCATGCTTGCTCAATAAAAAGGTGGAAGAGTAGGCATTTCCTTACACAGGGAGTGGGATCCTTCCCTGGAACACAACTATGCTATGTCCTGGCTCCTTGCTTGCTTCTTGGTGGAAGGGATGAAAAGGTGGGACCATGTCACTCATCTTGTTGGCTGGGAATTTCTCATGAAGACTGCTCCATGCCCAAACTGCATGTCATGGTGTTTGCCTTCACCTACCTTCCCACACCCCTCCCTGAACTGTCTCTCCTCATCATCTTTACTCTCTGAAAGTATGCCCCCGGGACGAGTCCTCTGCCTCCTCCCAGATCTGGGTATGCTCCACTTCCCCATGATTTCATCTGCTCCTGTGGTTTCAAATGTCATCCCTGTGCTGAGGACTCCCGTTCATATCGTATCCTCAAGTTCCTGGCTGGATACTGTCACTTGGACAGGGCGTCTTAAACCTTCAAAATGCTCCAAACTGAATTAATTTTAAAATTCTCCTCTACCATAGCCATGAAACCAAACAAACCCTTGCTCTTCTATACTCATTAACTTGGTAACTTGTACTGCTACCTATCTTGTCACCCCAACAAAAATCCTAAGGTTTCCCTTAGACCCTTCTGCCATGGCCAGTTAGTTGGCACAAACGTTGCTCACACTTCATTGGCCCTGCCTTTCTCCTCACTCAGTGCCTCTTCCCCTCCAGGACCAGTATTCTGCTCTCTTTCCACCTCATTCCACCCTGCATGCTCTGTCTGATTAATTTTTCTCCCTCTTTCAAATACCTTCAATGCCTCCCTATTACCTAAATATGTTGTAACTCCTCACTCTGGCATTTAAGGCTCTCCACAAAACAACCCATTCCTAAGATTTTATTGGGGCTGCTCCACCAACTATACTCTTAAGTCCCAATTGGTCAGTTGGATAGCTGGTACTTCCTTACACTTTCTACACTTTCTCCTTATACTCCTCACACTCTGCTGTCCCTTCCACTTCAAACACCCTCCCGAACAAACATCCCCCCGCCCCGCCACAATCCTGTACATCTATCAATCTCACCTCGGGTGCCCCACTCTCTTTCATGAAGCCTTCCTGGGAGCCTGCCTACAGTGACACTCTCAGAGCAGAAAGGTGTCCTTGGTTTACTGCACCTGTTCTGTTGCACTGTATTATCATCACATGAATGCTTGTCTAATACTCTTCCCAATCAGCATATATGCTCTTGAGGTTAAGGGCCATTGGTTGTGAGCAGTTTACACAGGATGGTACTGCACTGGCCCTCAGGAACATGTTTGTTGATTGAATTAAGCAGGGGCTGATGTGTTTGGAAATAAGACTCAGAAGACAAGACAGCTAGCTTCTTGTGCCTGTAGGGCTGTTTGCCCTGGACATTCAGCATGGCCCCAGGAGGACGGAGCTCAGGCTATCATCTCTGTCTTGAGGGGTATCCTGGATCCTCAAACAGTGAGAGCTTTCTCAGCGGGGGAGAGCTTTCTAGCACCCATCCATGATTTAGATAATTCACCACTTCCTGCCTTGACTTTCCTCCCTTAGCCCTCTGGCTCTTTGAGGGGGCCAGGCTCACACACAGATGCTGTGCAGTGCTCAGAAAAGGGCATGTCGGGCATTTGCTGCCATCTAGTGAAGGAAGTGTGGCTCAGTTTCTTGCTAAAGCTAAGCAGATCTCGTGCTCTCCGAGAGCTGGCTTCAGGAACCCAGCCTTGGCAAAAGGGGACCATCTGGGGATGGACAGGTGTGTATGGGAAAGGTGAAGCTTCTGCACAGAACAGATCACACCCAGGCCCTTAAACTGTAATCTGGGATGGGCAAGACCACATCCTTCCAGAGCCTCCCCTACCTCCAGCCAGAAGGTATTCCTGCTGGAATGATGGCCAGCCACCTTGTTCAGAAAATTTGCTAGGCATCAGTAAAACACCCAGTGTTCATAATCAGAGGCATCTTTTAGGGAAGTCATCAGTCATCCACAGTGCCTCAGGTGGAACTGGCCATGACTTTGGAACTGGTGATTTCTATGAGGCCCTGCAGCCCTGCAGGGGAGCCCCTGTGGCCCTGTCTCAAAGGTTTCCTGGCTCTGGGACCACCCACTCCCCTTCCCCAGCATGGCACAAAGACTCAGGCACCACCAGGTGATTGACCGCACACTCATTGGGTTACTGTGAGGTACAATTGAGATTATTCGTGACAAATGCTCAGCCAGTGCCTGATGCACAGCAACCACAAGTAAAAATTAGGTATTGATAATGATAGTATTGATATTTTGCCAATGCTCCAGAGCATAAAGCTACCTACAAAACTCATAAAATTCAAGTCCTGGATGTGAATACACACTGAAAATAATCACCGACTCAGTGCACCAGAGCACCCAGTGCTGGGCAAGGAGGAGCCAGTCAGAGGCTCAGAGGCTCAGACCTCAGACATTGGGCTGCTGATGGCATGCCAGCCCCTCCAGCCTATCTGCGGGACTGGTTTGCACAGGGTTTTCCTCCACATTTCAATTATCACGATGTAGGTTTTCTACTTCCAGGGCAGCTTCTTGCCAGGCCTGATGTTTTGTTTGGTCTCTGGGCATCTCCAGTTTTTAGGGAAGTCCTGGGCCTTTTGATGGGCCTGGGTTGTTCTCTGGACTGCATTTCACGCAGACATTCAGCCAGAACTGAATACAGGGGTCATCAAGCTAAGATCACTGGCTAACCAGTACATTCTCTGGCTCTCCAACACCAGGGTCCAGGTGTGGCTAAGAAGGTGCTCTCTCAGTCCAAGGTGGCCACCACAGATTTTTTAAATGAGCCTTTCTTATTGGTTCCAGCCAGTGCTGTGCTGGAGCCAGCTAGGGCCAGCTCACAAGAACTGATTGGGCATCTCTTCCCAACTTCACATTCAGGAATATCGTGGTGGTAGACTGAAGTCAGTTCTGATGGGTGTATTCACCACAGAAATCAATACATGTTACAAATCGTGGCACTTTTTTTTCCTGAAGAGCCAATTGTTATACACTTATCAGCATATGATGGGCTCCCATCTTAATTCCAAACAAAGCACCACTTTTGAATGGCTACTTACGTAGCCACCAAAGATTTTTTGAATGAAATGTACCATCTGAATGAAATACATCTAAGTGAATATACCATCTGAATGAAAATACAAACTGAAAGTCTCATTTATTTATTTTTTTTCCAAATGTATATAACGGAGATTGTAGCTGGTGAAAGATAGGGTGGTAAATGACAAGTCAAGATCACACCTTTTGTTCAAAATAAACCCAAAATACTAATGTTGGTAAAAATATCTGTAATAAGCTATTTATTTATTGGCAGGTTTTGAATTTTTACTCAGCATACAAGAGAGTTATATGTGATAAGCCACATACTTGCATTGGGGAAAACACTGAACAAAGGTTTCGAGCAATGTACCTAGAAACAATATGGAAAAACACTATCTAAATTTTTAACATGTTTTTTGTTTCTTATTCTTTTTTGACATGATTTGAACTGTGTTTCAATCCTGACATTAGTGTGTCCTTTATAGCCCTTCGAGTGTCTTTTTCCTTGCTAAAACAGCACCAGTGATTCATAGACAGCCTTATCTTCTATCCCTGTGACCTGTTTGAAATAAACATTGAAATATCACTTCTTTTAGGCAGAAAAAAATGGGATGGCTAGTTCAGGGAGTCAACTGCTTGTTCACACACTGAGCTGTGGACCCCTGGAGCTCAGATGCCAGAGGCCAGGTTGTGAGGCTGTGAGGTAGGAGTGGAAGTAGGGGCTCAGTCATAGTGGACTTTGCCCTCGGCCACCCCAGAGCTGGACAGGTCTCCATTGCAGAGTGTGTGGAGTGGTGAACGGGGCCTGTCTTCCAAGGCACATGTGGACATCTTCAGCCTGTATTTTCGAAAGGCCTTTTGAATAACAGCAGCACATCTTTCCTCTTCCTTCCTCTTGGTGGTGGTGACTATGGGTTCATATAACTTCTTGGAAGGGTTGGCTTCCATGAACTTCTCCTCCATCATCACTTTCATGCTGTCCAGGCCACCGGAGTCACCAAGTACCCTAGTGGTAAATGCGAAGAGAATATCCAGGCAGTGGAGACGATCTCCACTCACCATGGGCAAGTCCATCATGAGAAATTGAAATTTATTGGGCTTTGCCACGCGCAAAGGCTCAGGAAGGGCATCGGCAAAGTCAGAAAGGGCAGAATATTTGATGAACTGTGTTGCTTCTGGGTCAAACTTTTCCCAGACTTCATAGAATATATCAAAGTCATCTTCACCCAAAGGATCCTCACTTTCTTCAGTGGCTGTGTTAAAGTTCTCTAAAATCACAGCAATGTACATGTTGACAACAATGAGAAAGGAGATGATGATGTAACTGACGAAGTAGGTGATGGCTATGGCAGGGAGGTGACGGCTGTCTAAGTTGGGGTTGCATGAATCCTTTGATTGCAGCATGGGCTTGAGGAGGGCATCCCAGCCTGCTGAGGTGGTGATCTGGAAGAGACAGAGTATGCTGCCGACAAAAGTTTTGAAGTTGAATATGTCATCAATTCCATGCTCCTCTTTCACTCTGCAAAAAGAGCTCATACCAAAAATGGCATAAATAAACATAACCAGAAAAAGTAGAAGACCGATGTTGAATAGAGAGGGAAGAGACATCATCAGAGCGAAAAGGAGAGTCCTAATTCCTCGTGCTGCCCGAACAAGTCTCAGGATCCGACCAATCCGAGCCAAGCGGACAATCCTGAAGAGTGTTGGAGGGAAGGGAATGTGCTCCTGGTTCTCCAAGGCAGAAACCATTGTACCTTAGGAGAAGGAGATAAGGCAATTAATTTCCAGCAGGCACCCTGCTTTCAGATCCAGCCTCTCTCTCCTGCCTTGGAATCTTAGTGGGACCAATTTTTATCAGTACTTTGTAATTTGTGCACTGCACAAATTAAGAACTTTATCAATATTAGGGAAAATATCTATCTGTGCCCTAGCTTGGAAAATAATTTCCAAGCACTGTACAACTTTAGATGGGACTTTAGATGACATAGGATGTCTATAATATTGAAGACACCCAAGGAAAAGAAAGAGAATGCAGCTTATGAAAGGCTATATTGTGACTTATCTCAAACACTTGAAGTGCATCATCTATATTGGGTTTTGAAAGTCACTCATGAGATAACAAATATAATAGTTTTCCATATTTATTGTATATATAGAATGGAAAACAGATAAACTAAGGATGGAGTCCTTCAGATTAGCATAAGGAGAAACTTCTGCTGATTGATGGTTGGCTTAAGCCTGAGCTTTCAGTGGAAATTGTGGAACTTCTAACCCCAAAGCTCCTTAAAAAGGCAGGTTTTTATTTGCATAGGGGAATTTGAACACAGCTTCCTACAGGTGAGGACAGGACAGGGCTGGAGGGAGATGGTGGTGTTGGGATGCTCAACTCTAGGTGGAACCTGCTGCAGAGCTCTCATATTTGTCAATACACTCATCCCAAGGAAGGACTCCCGAGATCCATTCAAAAAGCTCAAGGGATTAAGTTGAAGATACTTTCCTTATTGTTATGGATGCCTCCAAAAATAGCATCTCGAGCAAAGTTTTCTGCAAACAGCTGATTATTTGGCCTAAAATGTCATCCTGTTCTCTCATTGCCTATTCTGTAAGCAACAGATACAAGATTTGAAACAATTCACATTTTGGCCCAAATATTATAGAATGGCTGGAACATGCTTGCCTTGTGTAGACATGGCCTTGCTCTTGCTTTGGGTGGTGAGGTCCTCAAAGGCATTAGGGGTGATGGGCAGCCAAAACTGTCTGCTATCCCCTAATGACTAAAGAGAACTAGTTCATAATATATTTCACCAACTGCCCAATTGTGCCAATGAAGTTGAATTCATGTGTTAATTGGACAGCCAACTCTAGTGAGATGTAAATTTATTAAGTTCCAACTTAACAACAACTGGAGGAGGTCCACTCTTTAAGGCTACCTCCTTCACAAATATTTCTTTGACTAATAGGAGCCTACAGTAATCTGTCCTTTATCTGAACTCAGTTCTTCTGTGTACCATAGGATATGATGTGCAGGTAATTTCTCTTTTTCTGACTCTTTAAGGTGAATAAGTCTTAATACCTAAACCGCATTGTCAACTCCTAGAGAAGGATTCACTTTGACTCATACTCATTTTGTATTTCTCTAAAAGCTTAGGAAAGACCTTGGAAAAGTGTAGAGGCTTAGTGTTGGGTGGCAGATCTACTGGCAAAGGCATACAAAATGCTGCCCAAATAAATAAATAAAAAATAAAATTAAAAAAATAAATAAATAAAATGCTGCCCACATTGGTGAGTAAGATTTGGCTCTGTGTGGATTTTCTCATCCACTGGAGCAAAATGCTATCCAGTGCTCTGCTGTGTAACTGCAATTGCCTAGCAGTTGTTCAAAGGACAGAAGTAAGAGATATTTCCACAACCTGCATGCTGGCTGGCACCGCCTGGAAGGATTTCAGTAAGTAGTGGAAAAAATGAGCTGCTCTCTGCATATTGGAGGAAGGGGTTCTTCAAGTTCTCAGAGGGCTGTGCCAGAGTCATTCTACCATCATTTTCTGACCTTATTGCTGCTGTCAATTTCACCAGGACTTGGAATTGGAATTGACCGATAAAGATTAGCAGTCTATTTCACTGGAGGTGTGTGGAAGGATCTATTTCTAAACTTTATCTACATAAACTTCATGGCTTAGAAACCAGAACAGACTATGAACTGTACCATTTTCTTTTTCTTAGAAACATCTGCATTGCTGCTGTAGTGATAGGAACCAAAATATTTTGATCTCACATATCTGTTTAACACATTCTTTCTGAAATAGTACAAAAGCTTCCACTTGTGAAATCAGTTTTCATTGTCTTCATTGCTTTTTGAACTATGAGAATGGCCCCTGGGTGGTTGCACACAATTATAAAAAGTCAAATTATCGGTTTAGTTAAAAGCAAACTGCAAAAACCCAGAGTGGAAACTCTTAGGGTTTAGCCATGAAGAATTTAATTTCAAAGTTGATGTGTGTGTGTGTTATAAAAAAGGTATATGGAAACAACCCTTTTTTTCTCTATTCTTCTTCCACAAATCTTAGAGTTAATCCTGCCTATGTTAAGAAAAATATACTGATTATAGAGCAAGACTGGTTGGTGAATGGGCTCCAAGCAGTTGAGACAACCATAGTTCATGCTGTGGTTTAAGTTAACATGGGATACAGAATAGAGAGAAAGCACTGCTTGCCCTCATGACACACTCTTGGAAACCCAGTCTAGGCTGGGCCATGGAGGTCCTATATAGGAGGTGAGAGAAGGCCTAGCAATGTCACAGGGGAGCAATAATTGTGATCTGATATCCACATGGATTTTTGAACTAAAGAAAACCATGGGAACTAAGTACCAAATCCTTAAGACTAAAAGATGCTCATGAGAGCTTATAGTTGCCCATGAAAGGTAGACCTTTGACTCAGTTACCTGGATATACCAGGTATCCCCACAAACACTTTAAGGTCATCTTAGTTTTGTCTATCTCCATTGAATAAATGGATCCACACAATTATTTAACTCCATTTCAGTAGTGTAAACAGTCAAGGGAATGAAAATTGCTCTGTATCTCCTAGCAACTTCCTAGTAGAGAATGGCATCAATACACCTGTCTATTTTTTCAGAAACCTCATTAAGCCTAATTTGTTGCTTTGTGGATAGTTTGGACATACTTCCAAATGGTAAGATTTACTTCTAGCTCTCAGGTTAAAGCCCCTTGGGTTTCTGATATTACTTACTAACAATAGAAAGAACCACAATCACACAATCAAATAAATTCCAGCCAATGGTGAAGTAGTATTGCCTCAAAGCAAAGATTTTGGTGAGACACTCAATTGTAAAGATGACCACAAAGGCCAGGTTGAGACGCTCAAGGACGAGTTTCGTGGCTTCAGACTGGTCATCTGATTCAGCCATCATGCTAAGCATGTTGAGGAAAATGAGGATGATGATGATGATGTCAAAGACCTGGCTTGTGACTAGGTCAAACACGAGACCCTGGCATTTATTCTGAGAGGGAAAAGAAAAAAGGAATCTTAGATCATTTTGTATTGTAAGAATGAAATCACATACACAAAAAAGGCACATACAACAGAATTTGTCCTCTCTTAAAATTGAAGCAGTTTCTTAAAAAATGAACACCCTTTTTAAATAACAAGAAATTCTTGCATTTACATTTTCATTTAAATTTAATTACATAACTGTTTTTGAAGTTGTAGGCTTACAGCTTTAATTCCATTTTAAAATGAAAAAACTGTTGTGATGATGTTTTGCTGAAATAAAACAGCTCCTGTTGGATTTAATAATAAAAAGATGAACTTCAGTTTCTATATTTCATCTGTTTCTTTATTTGGGCTTCAATAATATTAATGCAGAGAACACCTACTCACATAATTATGTTGGACGAAATGGAATTAACATCTCCAAGCCTCCACTTGTTAATTCAGAATTATCAGACCTAAGTATACTTAACCAAAACTCTGTATTCAAGCAGTTCTTGAACGCCAATTTTCTAAATGTGGTTCACTTGAAAATAAGGCTAGATAAATGGGATTGTGATGTAATGATGACTAAAAACAGAAATAGAAAAATTGATTATTTCATTTTATTATTGATGGTGAACTTACATATTGGTTGGTACATAGATGGTCATACTGCTCACAAAGTAAGTATATGTTAATTGCTCTGGTTCAGGTTCTAGCTCAAGTTCGCATGCCTAATCCACAATGTACAGTGAAATGACTCAATTGTCTCACTATATTTTCTGTAATCTAACAGCTGTGAAGCACTACTTCTCTTTACTTAGTGGAAAACTATTCTTAAACACAAACTCAGACACAAATCTTGTATGGTATTCTTGACTGTAAATAGGTTGTTTTACAATATATGTATACATTAAGGTATTTTATATCATATTATCATCTAATTGAAATATACATACACTAGTCTATTTAGAAAACTCATAAACTCCTGAGAATCATTTTTAGAACCCTAGGTATCTCTTATGGTAATCAGACAAAAGATGATGTTGGTTTGTGGTGGTAATAGTGGAGAGAGATATAAACATTTAGGTTTAAGAGCTAATATGGAAGTAGATGCAGAAGGAGTAAGAGAGTGTTTGAATGGAGATGGCTATGGGGAAATGATAGGCTGAGGCTATCGTTTCTGGTTGGTGGAGCCATTCAAGAAAACAGAGAATGAGGCACTTTGGAGGGAAATGATAAGATCTGTCCTGAGAACATTGAGTTTGAGGGGCCAGTGGGGAATCTGAGGACCTTGGGCAGGTAAAGGTATGGGTCTGGAGCTCAGGTGCAGAGCTGAAATGCAGATGTGCAGTTCAATGGCTGACATGACCAATACTGACATGAGTTAAAACCATGAGAGTAGACGGTATCAGTCAGGGAGAGCAAGGACCATGAGAAGAAAGAGGGTAGGGAGAGCACTGGAGGGATACTACATTTAAGTCGGTGTCTTTGAAATCTTGTCCCAGAATCATTAAAACTTTCATCAAGGAGTCTGGAGAAGAAACTTGAAAGTCAATTGCATTTGCTGTGTGAGAAAGCTTCTAGGAAGTCAGAAAGGGCCTGGAGAAAAGATACTTTTAAGAGTGCTCTCCAGGGAATCACAGTGATTGGCAAGAAAAACAGTGAGGGAGAGTAAGCCTAGGCCTAATAGTTTAACTCCAGTATTTAGAGTAACAGAGGAGATCAAGAATACAAGTTACCTAAACTGGTAGATATCAAAAAGCGTTCGATATCACTTTAGAATGTACAGTGAATCCTACACCTCAGTATCATCTGTGTGGATGGTTCAGAAAGAATCAGAAATGATGCCAGATCCCTTCCTCTACTGTTAAATAAAATAAAATGCATCACTGCTCAGGTTAAAACAGCTATATTCCCCTCCACCCCCATGCAATTGCTACTCATTTGTTCCAAAGGTCAAAAATAAGATTTAGATTTTAGAGATAAAAAAAAAGTCTGTGGGGAGATAAAGCTGTGAGTTAAGGGTTAACAGCTGATTTAAAAATCTAAACTCAAACTAGGGACACCTGGAATGTGTATTTATCTCATGCAACACAGCTCTCTGGAACATAGCAGTTAGGGTAAATATGATACATAACTGGGGAGATGACAACTGCTTGTTGGAATTACTCCTTGTAAAGCCCTGACTGGTAAGCTGTAGCTACACAGGGAGGGCTATGGCATGACACCTATTTCCAGATGAACCATGTGATGAACATGCCAGAAGACATAGTTAAAGCATGGAGGTAGAAGCTTGCCTCGGGTAAAGTAGTCCTTGCCCACCTGAAACTCATCCCTTGCAGCTTAGCATGCCCAGTGCAGGGGAGAGGCCTCGAAGCTGCAGCTGTGTCATGGCAACTTCTGTTTGGCTATGTGCTGCCTTGCTTGATTCATATTCTTTATGAAATAAATGGTTAAATATGTGGGAATCTATTGTGTCTCATGATTCTTTTAGTTCATTTCAAATCTAGGACCAACTGGTATTGCATCAGTGGTCGCACAGCATGCACATGTAAATAAAAATTCTCTTGGTCTTTTTTGTTGGCTCAAGTTCAAATAAGAACCTCTCCAGATATAATTGTCTCATTAACCTCAGTAAAAAATTCTTCATTGTATAAATTCTAAACACTTTGCCCTAACATTCCCAGATATTTTTAGTGCAATACAAATATTTAATCCTAGTGGGATGGACCCTGTGTGTACCCTAAAACATACTCTTTCATTCAACTAATAATTACTGAGAATACACTTTAAGCCAGGCTCTTTTCTGAGTCATGGGAATAGCAGTAAACTAAACATACCTTTGATAATTTGGGGTCTCATGATCAAATGAAAATCTCTAAATCCTATACATGCTTCGGATATCAAGCCCCTCTCCCATACTACTTTCCTATTGACCCCCCCTGCCTTGAAAACCTTCAAACTTACTTGTCAGAGCTACCAACTATGCCTAGCGTATTACTTTATAATCTGATGCGTGCAGGTTCCAGCTCCTCAGTTAGACTGCGAACATGAAGCAACTCTGGAGTACCTGATGAAGCAAGATTCATCGAGAGCAAGGGTCAGCAAACTATATCTGGTAGGCCAGATCTGGCCCACTACTGGTTTTTGTACAGCCTGTGATTTTACATTTTTTAATGTTGGGGAAAGAAGAACTCAAAAGGAAAATAAAATTTTGACATGTGAAAATTAAAGAAATCCAAGTTTTGGTGTCTATAAATCAAGTTGCATTAGAGCGCAGCCGTGCACACTTGCTCTACACTGTCTACGGCTGCTTCTGTGTTACATGGCAGAGACCGCGTGGCCTGCAGAGCCTACAATATTTACTATCTGCCCCCTTTTTTTGTCAAGTCCTGATATAGAAATTTTATCACAAATACTGGGGAAGTGGAAACCAGTATGCGTGACCTAGACTTCACACCAGAAAAGGCTGGAAAAAGATATTATAAATGCACTTTAAATTGGTCACTATTTAGTCAAAACTATAATGAGATATCACCTCACACCTGTCAGAATGGCTAAAATTAACAACATAAGAAACAATGGGTATAGGTGAGGATGTGGAGAAAAAGGACCACTCGTACTGTTGGTGGGAATACAAACTGGTGAAAAACAGTATGGAGTTTCCTCAAAAACCCCAAAATAGAACTACCTTAAGATCCAGCAGTCACACTACTGGGTATTTACCCAAATAATACAAAAATACTAATTCAGAGGGATACATTCCCCCCAATACTGATAGCAGCATTATCTACAATAGCCAAATTATGGAAACAGCCCAAGTGTCCATCAACTGATGAATGGGTAAAGAAGATGTGGTATATATACAAAGGAATATTATTCAGCCATAAAAAGAATGCTTTCTTGCCATTTGCAATGACATGGATGGAGCTAGAGAGAATAATGCTAAGTGAAATAAGTCAGAGAAAGGCAAATGGCATAGGATTTCCACACATATGTGGAATTGAAGAAACAAAACAAATGAACAATGGGGCAAAAAAGAGAGAGGCAAACCAAGAGACAGACTCTTAACTATAGAGAACTGATGGTTACCAGAGGGGAGGTGCTTGAGGGGGATTAAGGAGTGCACCTGTCATGATGAGGACTGGGTTACGTATGGAAGCATTGAATCACTACATTGTACACCCGGAACTAATACAACACTGTATGTTAACTATACTGGACTTTAAATTTTAAAAAAAGATTTAGTTAAAACAAACTATTAAGTTTACATCATTGTAATGAGTATATACTAAGCACCTATTGTGTGCTCACTAAAAAGCAAATGAAAGTTGTTGCTCAAGTTCTTATTATTGAATTTGAATGTCTAATTTTCCTAAGGACTTGAGCCAGACACCAGTGTATCTGGGTCTTTGTTGAGTTCTTAGATAATGTCTGTAAACTTAAAAAATAAAGAACAGCACTGCAGACATCTGAGCTCAAGACCACTTAATGGATCTATGTATTTAGAACGAATCAATTGCTCTCACCAGAGGTCTTGGAATGGGCTTTTGAGGTTTTTTGGATCCTAATTTTTTCATTGCATTATAGTATTTCTTCTGTTCTTCTGTCATAAAAATGTCTTCACCACCTAAGTATTTGGAGAAGATGAGAGCTAATTACCATTAACAGGGTTTTTTTGGAAACAAGTTCTGAATTTTCAGAAATAGTTTCAAAGTTACATTACATTCTATCAACAATTCCTAAAATTCCATTGGGAAGCAAAAGAGGCTGGACTCTATAGGAGGGCTGAAACAAGATTTAAATTAAGGAAAGGAAAAAATGCTACTTTTATAAGCTATATCTTACTTTTTAGAATATGAATAAAGATTACATATTCTTTGCAAACATCCACATCTTTAAAAAATTGAGTATATTTTAGGTTGCATAAATCAAATCACAATGTAAGAAAAGCAGATATTAGTAACAAAAATTTAAACAAAAATCTCACCAAATGGCAATTAAAATTCTCCTAAATAAATGAATAAATGCATATATTGCTATTAATAAAATTTTTCAGACCCATTCTCGAGAAAAAAGAAAGAACTAGAGAGCTTTAAATGTTTTCACTTTTGAGCAAGAACAAATAGAAATATGAACAAGAATTTTCATTTCTGGAAATTTTAGGAGGAAGTAAAATACTAGAAATGCTGGGTAAATTAGAACAGAATTCTTTTAAAATGTATAGCTAAATTTGCACAAAAGTAAGGAAAATCTCCGGGGTCTGAAAATCAACAGTGATCAAAGAGTAGCAAATTAGCCTGAAGCCACTGCTGGCCTAAGAGCATTTGCTAATCTCTGTAAAAACTAGAATCTTGGGCCTTAATAACTATAAGGGAGTCATGCAGAAAAGGTTTATGCCAAGGTCCCTGCATGAATCCAAGACTCCTTAAGTGCTGCCGATGAAAGGGTGAAGAAGAAAACAGAATCTGTCAACAGGCAGTGGGAGACAAGTAGGAAACTGTCTTAGTCTGGACTATGGGTAATAACCCCATCTTCCCTGACAATCTGGGAATCTGGGCCTGCCTTGATGATGGTGTGGGAATTAAATTTTCACCGCTACCAGTATGGACCAAAAATATACATCCCTAGGATCATCTTTTCAACAATGGTCCTAGGGAAACTGGAAATCCACATGCAAAAGAATAAAGTTAAATTCTTACTTAACACCATACACAAAAATAGCTCAAAATACATCAAAGACATAAATGTAAGATCTAAAACAACAAAACTCTTTGAAGAAAACACAGGGCAAAAGTTTCATAAGACTAGATCCGGCAATGATTTCTTGCACATGATACCAAAGGCACAGATAACAAAAGAAAAAATAGACAAATTGGACTTCATGAAAATTTTAAAATTATGTGCATCAAAAGATACTATCAATGGAGTAAAAAGGCAACCCACAGAATGCGGAAAATATTTATATATCATATATCTGATAAGGGATTAATCAGAATATATGGAAAACTCCTAAAATTTAACAACAACAAAAACAGCCAATGTCAGAGAAATTACTGTGTTCTCTTCTAGAATGTTTATGGTTTCAGGTTTCACATTTAGGTCTTTAATCCATTTTGAGTTTATTTTTGTATATGGTGTTAGAAAGTGATTGTTTCATTCTTTTACATGTAGTTGTCCAGTTTTCCCAGCACCATTTATTGAAGAGAAGGTTCTTTACCAATTTTACATTCTTGCCTCCTTTGTCATAGATTAATTCACTATATAAGTATGAGTTTATTTCTGGCCTATTCTGTTCCATTGATCTATGTGTCTATTTTTGTGCCAGTACCATACTGTTTTGATTATTACAGCCTTGTTGTATATCTTAAAATCTGGAACTGTGATACCTCCAGCTTTGTTCTTCTTTTCTCAAGATTGCTTTGATTATTCAGGGTCTTTTGTGGTTCCATACAAATTTTAGTGTTATTTGTTCTAGCTCTGTGAAAAATGCTGCTGGTATTTTGATAGGGATTGCATTGAATCTGTAGATTGCTCTGGGTAGTATGGACATTTAAATAATATCAATTCTTCTAATCCACGAGTATAGAATATCTTTCCATTTGTTTGTGTCATCTTCAATTTCTTTCATCAGTGTTTTAGTTTTCAGAGTATAGGTCTTTCACCTCTTTGGTTAAATTTATTCCTAGGTATTTTATTCTTTTAGGTGCAATTCTAAATGGAATTGTTTTCTTAGTTTCTCTTTCTGCTACTTCATTATTACTGTATAGAAATGCTACCAATTTCTGGGTATTAATTTTGTGTCTTGCAGCTTTACTGAGTTCATTTATTGCTTCTAGTAGTTTTTTGGTGGAGTCTTTAGGATTTTGTATGTATAGTATCATGTCATCTGCAAATAGTGATGGTGTAACTTCATTAGCAATATGGATGACTCATTTATTTTTCTCGTCTGATTGTTGTGGCTAGGACCTCCAGTACTATGTTGAATAAAAGTGCCAAGAGTGGACATCCTTGTCTTGTTCCTGATCTTAGAGGAAAGGCTCTCAGTTTTTTCCCACTGAGTATGATGTTAGCCATGGTTTTTTCATATATGGCCTTTATTATGTTGAGGTATGTTCCCCCTACACCCACTTTGTTAAGAGTTTTATCATGAATGACTGTTGAATTTTGTCAACATTTTTCTAGATATGTCTCCTGAGGCAAAGGAAACAAAAGCAAAAACAAGGGGCGCCTGGGTGGCTCAGTTGGTTAAGCGACTGCCTTCGGCTCAGGTCATGATCCTGGAGTCCCGGGATCGAGTCCCACATCGGGCTCCCTGCTTAGCAGGGAGTCTGCTTCTCCCTCTGACCCTCTCCCCTCTCATGCTCTCTCTCCATCTCATTCTCTCTCTCAAATAAATAAATAAAATATTTAAAAAAATATTAAAAAAAAAGCAAAAACAAGTTATCAGGACTACATCAAAATAAAAAGCTTTTTCACAGTGAATGAAATGATCAACAAAACAAAAAGGCAACTTACTAAATGGGAGAAGATATTTGTAAATGATATATCCAATAAGGGGTAAATATCCAAAATATATAACTTATACAACTCAACAATCCAATTAAAAAATGGGCAGAGGTCCTAATATGTCTTTTTCCAAGGAAGACATATAAATGGCCAACCGATACATGAAAAAGTGCTCAACATCACTAATCATCAGGGAAATACAAATCAAAACTACAATGAGATGTCACCTCACACCTGCCAGAATGGCTAAAATCAAAAACACAGAAAACAACAAGTGTTGCCAAGAAAAAGAACCTCAGTTGGTTAAGCGACTGCCTTCGGCTCAGGTCATGATCCTGGAGTCCCGGGATCGAGTCCCGCATCGGGCTCCCTGCTCAGCGGGGAGTCTGCTTCTCCTTCTGACCCTCTTCCCTCTCGTGCTCTCTCTCTCTCATTCTCTCTCTCTCAAATAAAAAAAAAAAAAAAGAAAAAGAAAAAGAACCCCTCACGCACTACTGGTGGGAATGCAAAATAATTCAGTCACTGTGGAAAACAGTATGGAGGTTCCTCAAAAAATTAAAAATAGAAATATCATACAATCCAGTACTTCTACTACTGGGTATTTACCCAAAGAAAATGAAAACACTAATTTGAAAAGATATAGGCACCCCTATGTTTATTGTTAGCCTTATTTATTATAGCCAATACATGAAAGAAAACTAAGTGTCCACTGATGGCTGAATGGGTAAGGAAGATGTGGTACACATGTGTGTGTGCACATGCATGTGCACTTCTGTACACACACACACACACACACAGAGAAATATTATGCAACCATAAAAAAGGATGAGTTCATGCCGTTTGAGACATGGATGGACCTAAAGGGTATTATGCTAAGTGAAATAAGTCAGACTGAGAAAGACAAATACCATATGATTTCACTCATATGAGAAATCTAAAAAACAAATAAATAAACAGACAAAAAGCAGAACCAGGCCTACAAATACAGAGAACAACAGAGGGTTTTCAGAGGGGAGGGAGGTAGGGGATGGGTAAAATGGTTGAGGGGAGTGGGAAGTACAGTCTTCCAGTTATGGAATGAATAAGTCATGGGAACAAAAGGCACAGTATAAGGAATATAGTCAGTGATATTGTAATAGTGTTGTATGGTGACAGATGGTAGCTACACTTGTGATGATCATGGCATAACATATAAACTTGTCAAATAACTATGTGGTACATCTGAAAGTAATATAATATCATGTGTCAATTACACTCAAAATAAATAAATAAAACAATCCAATTCAAAAACTGGCAAAGGACTTGAATAGACATCTCTAAAGAAGATATACAAATAGCCAGCAAGCACATGAAAAAACAGTCAATATCACTAGTCATTAGGGAAATGCAAATAAAAACCAAAATGAGGTACCACCTCACACCCATTAGGATGGCTACTATCAAAAAAAGAGAAGACAAGCATTGGTGAGCATGAAGAGAAATCAGAATTACACTGTTGGTGGGAATGTAAAATGGTAGCTTCTGTGGAAAAAATACAGTGGTTCCTCAAAAAATTAAAAAATAGAATTACCATATGATCCAGCAATTCAACTTCTGGATGTATACCCAAAAGAATTGAAAGCAGGGTTTCAAAGAGATATTTGAACACTCATATTCATAGCAGCTTTATTCACAATAGCTAAAATGTGGAAGCAACCCAAGTGTCCATCAACAGATGAATGTATGAGCAAAATGTGGTATATACATACAATGGAATATTATTCAGCCTTAAAAAGGAAGGAAATTCAGAAATATGCTACAACATGGATGAACCTTGAAGACATTATGCTAAGTGAAATAACTCAATCACAAAAAGACAAATAATGTATGATTCCATTTATATGAGATATTAGAACAGTCAAATTCATAGCAACAGTAGAATGGTGGCTGCCAAGGGCTAGGGGGAAGGAGAATGGGGAGTTATTGTCTAATTAGGTATAGAGTTTCAGTTTTACAAGATGAAAAGAGTTATGGGGATGGATAGTGGTGATGGTTACACAAGATTATGAATGTATTTAATACCAGTGAAATGTACATGAAAAATGGTTAAGGTGGTAAATTTCATGTTGTGTATATTGTACCACAGTAAAAAAATTTTGTGAAAAAAAAATGCAGCCCTAGAAGTTAACCAGGTTGTTCCAGGATGCCTGGCAGATACAAATGTCTTCAGTAATTACATTCATCACAGCAGTGTGTATTAATACTATTATTCTGAGACTGTCCTATGTGTGTTTTAGGGGATAAAACAAAAATGAGTAATTATGGAAATTTTTAATTCTATTATTTCCTATGCCCGTGAGAATCCGTTTTTTCAGTGTGGAAAAGAGGAGATACAGATTATTATTAGAGAAGAAGTTAAGTGAAAACCTTGTAGTTCTGAACTTGAATGAACAGTATTCATATTTCCACATACATTTCCTTGAAGTCCTAAATCTGAAGTAGCTCTGTCCACTGAAAAAGCTTTGAAGCAATGACAATGAGCATTTCGGGTTGTGATCTCAGAATACCACCTCCCCCCCACAAAAAAACCCAGAACTCCTTACAGAAATGGCTGATTCTTGATCTGGAACAAAAGTATGATTTAGCCCTGGAATATCTTGTCATTCCAGAGAGCAAGGAATCTGTCAAACGGGAGGACCTGATTTTAATCCTGATCTCAAAAGCATTATCAATTGATTAGAGAATGAATAAATGAATAAATATTTTAAGAAAACAAAGAATCAAGGAAATTTGAATGTTGACTGGATATTTGACAGATTTAGAGAATTCATGTTAAACTTCTTAGGTGTGGTAATGGAATTGTGGTTATCTTTAAAAAGAGATATGTTTTGAGATATATGTGGGTGAAACAGTGTGATGTCACTTGCTCTATTAAAAAATCTGGTGACAGGATTGGATAAGGGCATAGATGCCATAAATATGTTCTTAAGTCAATAAACGTGTTGGGTGATAGGTCTTGTAGGTTCATTTTAGTATACTCTTGTGCATGGTGGAAATTTTCTGTAATAAAAAGTAAAGCAAAACAAAACAAAATACCACGGCCTGATCAAAACAGTGATTTCAAATGTAAGCTTCCAGCTAAAATCACACGGCCTTAACATCCAAATTGCAGGGATTGATTGCAATCAAGCTGCATATTACAAAGGTGACTCTACACAGCACACTTCCAAATAATAGCAGCAATGTAGTTACAGAAGGACAATGAGTGACTCTCCCAGCAGATACTAAGAAGGCTGATCAGTATCAGGATACATCTTGGATAGATTGCAAGAGTTCAAAAAAAATTAAAAAGAGCCATAAAAACAATTAGGAAAACCAAAGGTGAATATTTAGTTATCCTATTTTAGGATTTTGGGATTCAGTTCCTACATGCAAGAGAAGAAGCCAAAAAGGACAAGATTGGGAATCTGACTCCATAAAAACACTAAATGTCTATAAATAAAAAATGTCATTATAGAAATATAAGAAGTCACAAGTTGGACTTACTACTTATAAACATAAGAAAAAGATGACAATCTCAACTTTAAAAAAGAGACAAACAGGGAAATACTTACAGCCATCAATCTGTGAAAAAGTGTATAACCTCACAAATGACCAAATAAATGAATATAAAACAATGAGATAACACTTTTACCATCAAGCTGGAAAAGATCATAAAAATTATAAAAATAAGAATGGTGAGAACAGAGCAAACAGGCATATTTACATCTTGCAAAAGGAGAGTACCTAGCACAGCAGCTCTGAAAGGTTATTTGACAATATATCTTTAATGCCTTAATTTCTAGAAACTTATCTTGAAGAAATAATTGCTGATACACAGAGAATTTCAGGAATGTTCATGATTGTTTTAAAAGAGCAAGAAATTTGTAAATGATCTAAATGTCCAAAAAATAAGGGAATGATTAAGATAAATTATTATTTATCCATAATAATGGGATGCAATTTAGCTCTGAAAAATTCTTATAACAAAGATGATTTCATCACATGGGCCCATAACTCATGGGGAGGAGGGGAAGCTACAAAATTAAAAGTATCATGTAATCTCAACCATGTACAAGGAATACATATGTATTCAGTGAGAAAGTAACTGGAAGAGATTATGTCAAAATGACGAAGCTTAATCTAAAATTGTTATCATTTGACGGTCACCTTATGAGTAGTTTAAATTTTTTTAATCTTTCTTTATTTTCCACATTTACTACAGATCCCCTGTGAATTACAGAATCAGAAAAAAATAAACATCTGTTTATTATAATGCATGAAGAAAAAAATCTCACTGAAAAAACCTGCTGCTTCCCCAAACATCTTTCCAAGTTCAATAAACCTGCTAGACTTACGTGCTGGAAGCCAGGACACAAGTTTGCTGGAAGAGAAGAGTTTTTCTTTTTATCCTGGACAACAAGGTACCTTGAAAGGTTACTAAAATATGACTATAGTGTCATGAATACTAATCCTGGTACTTGTTTTTCTGTTGGGGTTTAACAATGCCCTCCATTTAAGAAGGTAGAATGGAAAGTAAAAACAATGATTTAATAAAACCCAGCTGTTCTCAGTCTCTTTTCAGCCATATCTTCCAGAATCTTCTCCAGGTGGCTTTGTTCCCATACAGATGATAAAGCTTACTTTGCACAGCAATCTAGATTAGAACTGTGTTCCATCCAAGCCCTTTGGAAAAGAGAGGTGAAAATACCAAATCAGGACAACCCCCATACTTATCTTTTTCTGCTGTTGGTTGAAGTTGTCAATAATAACACCAATAAAAAGATTCAGTGTAAAGAATGAACCAAAGATGATAAAAGCCACGAAGAAAAGGTAGTTTTCTGGTTTCTCCTCAAACCCTGGCTGTAGATCTTTCTGTTAGGGATTTTTTAAAAAGAAAAGAAAACAATTACTGGAGAAAATTATAAGCCATCTTAACTGGCTTATCTAGAAGACCAAAGTATTTCTCAGCAGTAACATTAACTACTCGGGTTCCTGAACAGCCATGGCCCCTGCTGGGAAACCCTCTTTTAGTTTCCCCTAGAGGAGCCTGACTGGTACCATGCAATGGGGAGGGCATGTGACAAGAGGGTTAGACTTTTTCTTCTAAGCAATGGAGAATCATGAAAGGATTGTAAGACAGGGGAGTGGCCTGATCACATGTCCTTTGAGAGGGTGTCTAGGGTGTCTATATGGACACATAACTGTAAGGAGCCAGACTGGAGATAAGGCCACTGGAGAAGGGGCACAGTCCCATCAGGCACGGTGACTAACTACCAACTCTTGATGAATGATAACATCCTTCATATGAGAGCCCACTGTTGTATTTGGTCTGTGCTTGTGTCCTGTCACTCTTGAATTCCTAGGTCCTAGAATACTTTGTGACATGTAGATTCCCAATACACATTGAATGAATGTTTGGATGGATGGATGGATGAGTGAATGAATAGTCAAGCTATAGAACAGACACCAACCAAGCTATAGAACAGACTACAACCAAGTTCCCCCAACTCAAAGTATGACCAAAAGCATCCAAAATCCCTTTCATACAAGTTCTTTACATTGACACTGGCTTTATACACTTTGGGCATAGGTGTCAGGACAATTTCTCTTCTTTCTCCAGATCACACTCAAAGATATAGGTATGAGTGTTGATAGCTCTGTCACCCCTTGAATGTTTTTATGATATTTGTTATTCAACACCCACCATACAGACTAATGTAATGAAGGTAATATTTGAAAATACTTTTGTCTTTTGTCTTGAAGAGCACATGACCTTAGTCCCAGTTGGCTTGAGATGTCCATTTGTTTGAACTAGCGGTAGGCATTAGTACAGAAACGATACAATGGAAAGAAAGAATTACTATTAGCATCTGATATTTAAAATAAGATTACAGGGGCGCCTGGGTGGCTCAGTTGTTAAGCATCTGCCCTCGGCTCAGGTCATGATCTCAGGGTCCTGGGATCGAGCCCCACATCGGGCTCCCTGCTCCTTCTCCCTCTCCCACTCCCCCTGCCTGTGTTCCCTCTCTTGCTGTGTCTCTCTCTGTCAAATAAATAAATAAAATCTTAAAAAATAAAATAAAATAAGATTATATAGCAGGCTAACAGTCCTGCAAAGAGAGGTTCAAATAGGAAGAGGAAAGGACAAAAAATCACCCCTGTTGTACCTAGGGAATTGTCAGAAAAAGAGAGAGACAGAGAACATCAGAGCCTTGAGATGTGTGTCCTGATTCACCCTCTTTGGGTTTGGAGAAGGGACTTGGGATTCAGTAAATTGAAGAGAACATGGGGGTACAAAGAGGATATTCTTCCTCAAATTCTGTATTTTTCTAAGAGGAAGCTGCTGCTGGGAAGGCCTGGGATACACTGCACAGGCAGGATGAGTGAAGAGGTTAGAGTAGCATAATTAGAGAGAGTCTCTCAAATTTTTTGGTTTTCATGAGGCTCGGACATGGAGTTGATAGCCATAGGCCTGCCATGATGGGCTTTTGGCAAGAGATGGGAGTAGATTGCTGGGTCAGGGGACCATGTAGAGGACATGTCATAGAGTCAGTGTTTGAGACCAGGAGGAATTGAGCGGGGAGAAAGGCCCATGGTTTCACCAATATTTGAGACCAGCGAGATTCTCTGTGACTACACAGACAAGGGCATCATCGTGCTAGAAGCCAGTATATATACACCAGCCATAATGTTCCAGGACCAACATCAGGATGGGCATCCCTCCACACACCTCCACCCATCTATCATTCATTCAGGGAACATGTAAGCCACACACCTCTTCCTGCATACATCTGCATAAGATTTCCTCCCCATCTCCCATCTCCACTTCAAGGCACAAGGATGTCTAAGTTAAACTAAGATGAAGGTCATATATTCAAAAGACAAAAAAAAAGCACATTAATATTTTAAAATACTGTCTTTTTAATAAATTGCCTCTACTACTACTGCTATAACATTTCTTGGCATGCATGGGTGGCTCGGTCAATTAAGCATCTGACTCTTGATCTCAGCTCAGGTCTTGATCTCAGGGTCATGAGTTCAAGCCCCACATTTGGCTCCACACTGGGCATGGAGCCTACATTAAAAAAAAATAACCCACTTTTCATACCACCTCCACTGCCACTACCAGCTCACATACCTACTATGTGCCAGGCTCTGCAGACTCTCATACAGAACAACAACATGTGTGTGATTATAGGAAAAAAATAAACAATGCTGATTCCATTCTTGATTCAATCATTTGCTTACTCCATGGTTTTGGGCAACACTCTTCCTTTCCAATTCTCGACTTTCCCAAATGGGACGTAGAAATGGACTAGATGGCTGAGTACTCCTCCAACTTTCAGAATCCATGATTACTTTTTACTTAACTAGAATTTTACAGTTGGCAATCACCAGAAACCCATTTAGTCTCTGAGCCTGGAGCCATGGGAAGGTCTCTCTTATCAGACGCTAGTCCAGCTGTAAGATTCTCCCACAGTTCAGGGCTATTACCTTTTGAAATTTGGTTTCTGCCCGAATACCCATTTGGAAAAGAAGTAAGAGAGGAAAATCAAGGCATCCTGTGATTCTATTGTTTCTGGCTCCATCTCCTCCTTGAGAGGTTTCTCCCTGGTCACTATGGGGAAACAGGACTGGACTTTGGAGCAAGATAGGATGTAATACTCATGGAAGGATGAATAAGAACCTCTTTTGTCCCTTTTTCATAGTTATTGTCCCAAGAAAACAAGGCAAAGAACCCTGGCTCGTGGAACTATGATGTGGGAAGTTCTAGACTGTCTGTGCAGTCATGATATTCCTGATTTAACCCTAGCACTCTAGAACATGGTAGAACAAAAGCTCACCCCTCTGGAATCGACAGCTGCATACATAATATCCATCCAGCCCTTAAATGTTGCCTGTAACAAAAGCAAATAAACATGAACATAATTATAGGCTTGCTATCAACAGACAAGTGCCATACAACAGCAAGCAAGACCCACTGGGCAGATGTATATAAGATAGACAGGAATGAATGTCCAGGACAAAATGTCCAGTTAAAAGAACAGTAGAAGGTAATTAAAAGATGGGTGTCTTGGGGTTTTTTTTCTTCTTCATTTCTACAAGATAAAAAGTGGGTTTTTTTTAAAGGAAATTTCTGCCTTAAAAATTTCTAGAGGCGCTGTGTAACAACTACTGGAAAGAGCCTGGCTGAGGCTTTCCTGATGCTACATGTTTACACTGTCTGCCTAAGACCTGGCAACTGTGGTTTGACCAGGGGACTGACTTCCAATAGAGAACTGCTGCTAATGGTGTGGTTTTGCATCTGAGGCTCCGGTCTTTCTTGGCTGGAGCTCTGGAGAGTAAGGCACCATACAAGATAGGGTGAGATGTAAAGGGGCATTGTTGGGAGGTTGAGGCTCAGTAGACAGTAAAGTTGGAGATGCTCAATGGGGAACAATTCCAGAGGGCAATGGCTTCCACATGGGGAATTAGGATTTGATTCTACTATCTTAATGGAGTCACTGTGTTTTTATTAAACTGAAAATGATTTATGTTTCTTTTAAGGTTTCTCTCCTCACAGTAAAAAACATACCAACAGCACTTACCACTTGCAGCAGGGCAAGGTAAGCCATTCCCACATTGTCAAAGTTGACTGGAAGGGTGACCCAAGATAAATTTCCACCTTCACATTCAGTTTTGCTTGCAACAGTGCTGTAATTTATAACTGAGTTTATATCTGTTCTATTAACGCATCTTCCAAAATTTCCAGAGAAGAAGTTTACTCCCAGGATACAAAATATCAGCCAGAAAATGAGGCAGACAAGCAAAACATTCAGAATGGCAGGTATGGCACCTATGAGAGCATTGACTACCACCTTAAAAAAAAAAAAACAAAAAAAAACAGAAGAAAAACGTAACAGATACACAGGATTCACCAAATTCTGGATCTCAGGATGTGCCTGATATGTGGGACTGGACCTCTTGGAGCTCTGTCTTTACTTTCTACTTCCAACCTCCCAACCCTGCATCCTATGACAAGCCCTGCTTTCAGCTCCATAGATAATGGGTCCTTTCTGTTGTCATTGAGGATCACTTGAGAAATGTCATTTTATGACAGTGTTACAGACTTATAGGACACCTGCCCTAGGATTGAAAGGAAACCGGAGCCCATCTTGGTTACCACAGAATGGATGCTATCTTAAATTTTTCTCCATCTCTCAAATTCTAAGCAGTGGATTTGACGGGAAGGAGCCCAGGAAAAGCTTGGCAATTTAAGAGAAGCCCAGCCCAAGAAGAGCAGTTGGCTTTTCCACCTCTCCCTGACAGCTTGACCTTCCTCCCAACTGCCTGAAGAATGTACCTTCATTCCCTCGAACTGAGACAATGCTCGCAGGGGCCTCAGGGCTCTTAGGGTCCGGAAGGACTTCAAGCTCTTTAAGTCAATGAGACTGGTCACAGAGACCTGGTGGGAAGAGAAGCCACAGGTAGTGTACCTGACTTGGTTTCCAGGGAAGCCAGCAGGGGACTGGCAGCCCTCATTCTGAGAGGCAGACACATGGTGCCTTCAGTGGATTATCCAGAAACAGAAAGCAGCCAGGCCCTGCAGGAAGTGGGAGGGCAAGTGAAGAGACTATTTTTCTCCTTGTTTGCCAAAGCTACAGCCCATACAGGTGAGGACAGTGCATTTACATTATTTGTTTAATGAAAGACAAAGAAAAGCTGAGAAATTGCTGCGAGTTAAAGGAAACCAAAGGGACATGACAATGATGTGTCACTTGGGGTCCTGAATTGGATCCTGGATTGGGGTTGGTGAGGGGAGGCCACGGTGGATGGATAGAAAGAATTAATCATAAAAGACCTTGTTGAAACAATTGACAAAATTTGAAAATGGATATGGGTTTTGTTACTGAGTCATGTTAAATTTCCTAACTTTGATAATTGTGCTGTGACTGTGTGAGACAGTATCCTTTTTCTTAGGAAATACACACTGGAATATTTAGGGGTAAAGGGCTGTGGTGCCTGCAACCTAATCTCAAGCAATTTAGAATGAAAAAATGGAGAGAAAATGACAAAGCAGATGGGGTGAAATGTTAATAATTGGTAAACTTGGGGAAAGACTATAAGAGGTTCTTTACACTATTTTTTGCAACTTTTCTATAAGTTTGAAACGATATAATAAAAAGTTACAACAAAATAATAAACTGTTTGCTAATATTTCCCCTCACTCAGATGCCTCCTTTTGGGGGAATTAAATCCAATTTTTTCTCCCAACATAGTTCTTCCCAGTGGGTCAGGGCTAAGGACTGGAAAGCTCTGCAAATACACTAAATTGAAACTTAAATATAATGAGGTTGAGTTAAAGACCACTATTTGCAGATTCTAGTCATTCTTACTGATTATGCAGAGCCTTCAGAGGTTCAACTTGAAAGAAGGGTTGCTCAGCAGGACAGGAAGTGAATTATCCTATGACTGACTATGCTGATATCAGAGTTCACTATTATCTAAAATCATTCCCCTGCCAATCTCATTGTAGTAGTAAAATACTAGCAAATTGAGAGAAATTAAGTGAGTTAATATGGCAGAATAACAAAATTTTAAAATGTATAATCAATTTTTTAAAAAAAAATCACCATCAATTCAAAATGCTTTTATTTATAAAGGTTTTCCAGGGGTGCCTGGGTGGCTCAGTGGGTTGGGCGTCTGCCTCCGGCTCAGGTCATAAATCCCGGGATCCTGGGATCGAGCCCCACATTGGGCTCCCTGCTCAGTGGGGAGCCTGCTTCTCCCTCTGCCTGTTGCTCCCCCTGCTTGTGCTCTCTCTTTCTCTCTGCCAAATAAATAAATAAATAAATAAATAAACTCTTTATAAAGGTTTCTAAAATAGGCTTTTTGTTTGTTCTCTTGTTTGTAATAGCATTGCCTGTTGGGAGAGTTATTTCAGCAGTTTTTCCACAAATATCTCCTTCTACCTTGTTCCTAGCCAGAGGGAAAAGGATGGCACAGTTTAGCAGTTCTTCTGGCTTTACCAAATAACTCTTATCATGGGTGGGGAAGAAGGGTCCCTAGAGGGACACTGTACACCTTTCACCTGATAAGGTTATCCCCAGTCTCTATTCCACCAAATTGGGGCACATTGATGATACATGCAGACATAAAAATACCCACATTCTTTCCCACTCTACAGTACTCTTAAGGTGGGAAGTCTTCTGCTGGTTTTACCTTTTTTTCTATCTAACTTGCATTTGTTACTCTGTACTGTTTTGACATTCACCATTTTGATATACATATTCTTGTGGTTTGTTCCTTTTAACTGTTATAAAATATTACAGCATAGAAATATTCATATTTTATGGATCCATTCCCCCTTGGTGAATATCTAGGTTTTTTCCAATTCTTTGCTATTATGAACAACAAACTGGACAGATGTGTGCATTTTTCCTGCATACATACACAAGAGTTTTCCATAGATGCATAACTAGAAGTGGTATTTATGGATAATAAATTGGGCTCATTTGTAATTATACTTAATGTGCAAAATTTTCCCTAAAATAACTGTTACCAACTAAGTTGTTAGCAGTGATTAGAGATTCCATTTTCTTATATCTTTCTCAATATTAGAAATTATCCAACTTTAAAATTTTTGTCAGTCCGATGAATAACACAAAGTCTCTCATTTTAATATGCCCTTCTATGCTAACTGGTAATAAAGCTAGTGTGTATTTCTTCATATATTTATTAGTAACTTGTGTTCCTTATGTGAATTGCCTGTTTGCATCCTTCTCCCATTCTTACACTACGTTTTCTTTTTCTTGTTCATCTGTAGACAGTTTTTATATACTGTGGATAATAATTTTCTGTTATGCATATGGCAAGAACTATCTCCAGCTCTAGCCTGTCTTTATAATTACAATTCTATTGAATAAAAAACCAAAAGTTTTACATTTTGATATAGTTGAATTTAGATACATATTTTTTGTGGTTCTGTTTATATTTTTCTACTTCAAAATTATAAAGATCATTTTATATAATGTTGATTAACAAGCAACATAAAAGGATTATTCACGGGGTGCCTGGGTGACTCAGTTGGTTGAGCATCTGACTCTTGCTTTGGCTCAGGTCATGATCTCAGGGTTGTAAGATCAGGATCCATGACAGGCTCTGTGCTGATAATGGAGTCTGCTTGTGATTCTCTCTCTCCTCCTGTCCCTCCCCCGCCCCCCACTCACACACTGCTCTAAAATTTTTTTAAAAAATTTAAAAAAAGGATTATTTACACACATTCTCTTATTTAATCTGCACAATAATGTTCTGAATTAAGTAGCATTATATATCACTTATCATGTTATAGGCAAAGAAAGCTGAAGCTCAGAGGATTAGCAATTTGTTTCAGGTGGAACTGGGATTCACACCTTGGTCTATATGATACTAATGCTAATAATAGTAATAGTGGACCATACTTATCAAGTGCTTTCTCTGGGATTTATAAAAATAAATAATTACAAGATTATTTCTTTTCATGTTGTACTCATTTTTGTTCCATTCATTTTGTTTCGAAGATTATACTTGTCTCATCAAATAAAGTATGCAAACTTCCTCTTTTTATATTCTTTGTAACAATTTGAATAAGGTTGGGGTTAACTGTTTATCTTAGTTCAGGCTGCTATAACAGAATATCAAAGCCTGGGTTGCTTATAAATAACAGAAATTTATTTCTCACAGTCTAGAGGCTGGGTAGTCCAAGATCAAGACGCCAGCAGAATCAGTGTCTGGTGAGAGATCACATCCTAACTCATGGATAGTTTTCTTCTTTCTATGTCTTCAATGACAGAAGGGGTGAGGAAGCTCTGTGGGGTCTCTTTTATGCATCGCTAGCCCCATTCATGAGGGCTCTGCCCTCATAACCTAATCACCTCCCAAAGGTACCACCTCCAAATACAAACACATTGGTGGTTAGGTTTCAACATATGAATTTTAGGGGATGCAAACATTCAGTATATAGCACTATTTCTTGAAAGTTTGGTAAAACTTGCCTGTAAAACCATCTGGGCCTGGTGCCCTTTTTTGACAGTGTGGTGTTGAACTACTGTTTTGATATTTTAAATGGTTATTGTTAGATTTATGTTTTCCATTTGTGTGTGGTCTAATTTGGGCAATTTGTAGTCTATACTCTCATTTTTATTAAGGTGAAGACTTATTAAAAGGGGTTAGTACTTTGCCTAAGGTTCCACAGAAAGAGAGCAGACAAGATAACTTTAGGATCAGTTTCCTGAGTTTAGGTCAGTAGACCACAGGTCTCTAGAATGGAGATACCAACCATCTGTCCACTGTCTTATGGGTTCTTCACTATACTATGAGATAATGGGTGCGAAGTGATTTGCATCATGTTAACTGATAGGGTTTACAGACATGTGGATATTTTTATTCTTTTTTATTATTCCTGTTGGAGCTCCCATGGCACTGATGCCTTTCTAAAATGCCTGAACGACATGCCTATTTGTGTCCATCAACAACATTAGCAACATTATGGTTTTCCAGTTGCTAGGTTGACCACATGGCTTATTCTTATGCATTTGTCATGTCTACTTCTTTAAATAGCAGAGACAAAGTCTAACTAATTAGCACATGGTAGAGAGTTTTAATATACTGTGGGTAATAATTTTCTGTTATGCATATGGCAAGAACTGTCTCCAGCTCTAGCCTGTCTTTATAATTACAATTCTATTGAATAAAAAACCAAAAGTTTTACATTTTGATATGTTAAAATCAAGGACTTCGGAGTGAGGCTTACTGGGTTTGAGTTTCATCTCCACCACTTCTAGCTGGCCAATTTTTGACATGATTCTTAACTTCTCTATTACTTAGTTTCTCCCTGTGTATATGAGAAAAAATAATAGTACCTACCATATGGAGTGGTTGGGATAACTAAAAGAAAGAATGCTTATGAAGCATATGGCAGAATACCTGGCATAGAGAAAGCACTTGATAATGTGATGTACTATTATTAGCCTTAGCAGCACACAGACCAAGGTGTGAATTCCAGTTTCATCTGAAACAAGTTGCTGACCATCTGAGCTTCAAGTTTCCTCATCTGTAATATGGTAGGTAATGTATAACTCTGCTTAACTCAGAACACTGTTGTGCAGATTAAATGAAAGAATGTATGTGGATAATCCTCTTATGTTGCTTGACAATTAAGATGGAGACCAGCCTAGTCTGTTGGCTGCTGACCTTCTTTGAGAAGTCTTGAGAGAAAATAGAAAGTTGGAAGGAGACAGGTGGGACACTCAAGGTTATTCTAGGTATACATCAGACATAAGCAGTGCTTATGGAGAGAAGTGGATGAGTGCCATCATGGAAAGTATTGGGGTAGTGAGAATATGAAGTGCAGTGTGAGGAATGGGACCCAGGACAAGCAGGACTGCTGATGGATAAATGACAACTACTTACAAGTACTGTGAAGAAAAATATTTTGGAGAGGCACCCAAATAAGGCACACAGCTTCCTTACGATATCTTCCCCTCCCCTACCCCAACCGCTTCCTGCATGGAACACAGAGATGGTAAACTTACAATCACAATGATGAAATCAAGCCAGCACCAGACACTGGTGAAATACTTCCCAAATCCAAAGGCCACCCATTTTAGACCAATCTCCAGGATAAAAATGTATGTGAAAATATGGTCAGTACAATTAAGTAATGCTTGGATATTGGGTCGTTTCTCAAGGTGAACATCTTCAAATACCTGAAATGATAAAGCATAGCCATAGGCCAGGTTGAGTATTTGCTTAGAACTACTTGCTGACCTTACTTTTTAACTTTTCTTCCTTATTTGAATAAACTAGCATCTCTCTTGGTGACAAGGTTTTGCTCAAAAGGTATTAAGAATGAAATTTCGCAGTGGAATAAATTCCTTGAGTAAATAAAACTGGAAGAAGGAAAATCCTATTTCTAGACTTCTATTGCCACAATATCTCCCTAGGCTCTCACCAATGATCCCTGAAATATGAAAATATCTTCCTAACAGATCACCACACGATTTCCTGGTCTTCCTGATCCTTCCAATTCATGCTAACAATATCTTGCCAACTTTTCCAGAACCACCCAGGGGCAAATTCCATCTCTTTCATCCTTCTAGTTACCTTAGTGGCTCTATTCAGTGGCTCTCCATTGCTCATAACACCCTAGTTCCAAACACCTTGGTCTACACTCTAGATTTTGCCAACCCTGAGGCCAATGATCTATAACAAACAGCCTTACAACTTACCCCAGTGCTTCTTCCAATGTATGTGCCCATTTTTTGTGTACCAAGACATGCAAAACTTGGGGAAGCTCTGGGCTGGAGCTTCCAGTGTAAATTACTTTGAATATTAAACATTCGTTGAGTGTGATCATGAAAGTGAGACATCCTAGCTTCTGGAGAGACCCTTTTTCATGCTACATCCAAACATCCCCCTCATCTGAAGTTTGTATGTGATTCTTCGGGGTCTATATAACTCAGGTAGAAGCTGTCCTTTTGGCCTTTACAGAGTTACTGAGAATGAAAAAAAAAAAAAAAAAGAAGATAAGGGTCCCTGGTACTGAACCTATCAAGACATTTAGGCAAACACTGAAGACAAGAAAGAAATCGGTCCTGCTGTTGGGTACTAAGGTAATCCCATAGCCCCATGGCCCTGGGGGAAAAAGAATGCAAAAGAATAAAATAGTCTGACTTCCAACTCCTAAGTGGGCTTTTGATTGGAGAAGGCTCTCCATCTCCTCCTGTCCCCTGCTGCCTCCTCATCATTATTAAAGTCTCATTTCAGTTGATATTTTCTTTGGAAACTGTCCTTCTTCGTCAAAGGCAATTAGGTGCCTGTTCTGCATGGACCCATGTCATCCACTGCTTCTCTGAGTGTATCACCATGGCCCTGGTCTATAATTGCTTGAACCCCATCTGTCTTCCCTAATAGACTCCACGCTCCTGGAAGTCAAGGACTTGTCTTTGTGCTTCTTGAAGAGAGACAAATCTGAATGGTATTGGAAGCTCATTTCCTCTCTCATTTTGGAAGATGAGCAACAACCAGGTTCAGCAGATCTGACTTTGTTCAATTGAAGAGTAGGTCAATATCAGCAACTGAACTTTGGAGGCTCCCACATTATAATGAGACCATTTCCTTGTCCAGAAAGCTCTCATTATTACCCAGTTGCTCAGACCAGAGCTTCCCAAACTCTAATGAGTCCCAAAGCACTTAGGTTCTGATTCAGCGGGTCTGGGGTGGGCCCAAGACTACATTTCTAACAAGCTTCCAAGTGATACTGAGACTGCTGATCCATATACCACATACAGTGGCAAGGGACTAGATGTTTCTTGTCTCCATTTGTCTACAAATATGTAAAGTGAAATAAGACCTGAGTCCTTCTCCCTCTGCATTGTGTGCTCAGTCTTCCTCTGCCCAACCTACACTGGCCTCATCAGAAGGCAGATGAGAACTAGGAGGATGGTATCATGTGTCCCTGACCTTCTGACAACACCATGCTTTCCCACTGACTAGCACAGGGCTTGGTAGACACCAATTATCATTTGTGGAATAAATTAAAGAACCCTATTACTTGAATTAGAGTAAACATCCAGTGAAAATGTAAGCACCAGAAGGCTACAGGGAATCCTAGACCAAGGATTAGCAATAAAAATTAATTAAGAGAGTTCTCTGGCATGGTTTAGAGAAATTTCCTTTTTTTTTTTTGCTTGAGAAATAATTTACCCTGCAGTAAGTAGATAAATGGAGATGTGTGCTGATCATAGGCTCTGATGGGCCCCAGTGTGTGCTCATCTACTTTCACCTAGAGATCACACAAATGTACAGAACTAACCAGGAAGGCAATGGTGAAGAAGCAAGACATTTCCTTGTCGCTTCTAATTGCTAGTGACTTGCTGTGAAATGCTCTGTGATTCTAAATCAATAAGGGGGTACCTAAAACTCCATTCATTTATACAACAAATAGTAAGAGAGTTTAGTTCTATATTATGGCTATTTTAAGGGAAAATACAAGATAGAAGGGGATCGAGGAAAAAAGAGAGACACATGTAGGTGATAAGAGAGAAGATGCTATCACTCAAGTAAGGGAGGCAAGAAGGACCAAAAGGTGAGGAGAGAGAGCAGGAAGGAGTTTACAACTATATGCTATGGAGACATGGATTTAGAGTTATTTCCAAACCTCACTGGGACAACTACACCTCGATCTGGAAGGATCTGCTCTGTGATTAAAGCAGTATCTGTTTGTTTCTCCTCTCAAAGGACCATGACTGATGGACAATACTAAGACAACTTATTATATATCCAAATCTGGTCCCTGTAGGCTTCTCCTCCTAATGTTCTACTTTTAGGAAAGCAGCATTATGGTTTCCCAGAAAAGAGAGGTAGGAACATTGCTGTCTAGAGGAAGAAACATATAGGACACAGTGAAAATGTCTAGAAATTCTCCAGAATGAGGGACAGGCATGGAGTTCAGGGTCAGACTCCAGTAGCCACTTTAAAGTGCTGATTTAAATCATGCTTCCCCATGAGCCAAAGTGTCTTTGGCTTGGGACTTCCCAGTTGGAGCAGGACTCCAGAAGTTGTGCAAAATCCTGCCCTCAAGGGGAACCAGCAGCATAGATCCCACTTCTGCCTGGTATCCCCATATTCACAGCCCCATGTCAGAGTGTAGCCTAGCCACCTGATGCCCAACGTCCCCACAAGACTGTGATAATTTACCAGTGCCCCACTGCTCAGGAGAATCACAAAGATAATAAAGCTCTCAAACCAGCTGTGTTTCACTATTTGGTAGCAAGTTTTCCGCAGGTTCCACCAAATGATCCAGGGGGACTTTCTCTTGTCCATGGCACAGCATGGAAAGCAGTGACCCAGGCCTGCAAGGAATGAGCAGTAGCATTATTCTTAGTGTCTGTAATGAGCTGTATTAATCACCCTAACTCTTCACCCTCCCTTTATGCACGTCCCTTACCTCTGCAGTCTTCCCACTGAAGAGGTGGAGTCATTTTCCAACCCCCTGAATCTGGGCTCAGCCATATGACTTGATTTGGCCAATAGAGCAGAGTGGGAATCACACACACCAGTTCTGAGCTTTGGCCTTGAGAGGCCTTGCATGTTTCCACTTGCTCTCTGGCACCAGCTCCATAAAGAAAGGAATATTTGGGCCAGCCCACTGGTTTCAGGAGAAGGATGGACATGTGGTACAGAGCCAAGGGGCCCAGGTAAGTCCAGACCAGACTGGCCGACTCCCAGTCATTACCACTCACATGAATAAAGCCAGCCAAAATCAGCAGAAATAACCAGCCTGGATGAGTGGAGTCATGTAGACGAATGTTTATTATTGTGTGCCACTGAGGCTTCATGGCTGTTTGTCACGCAGCAATTTCTTTTGGCAACAGTAAACAGTGTCCTAAGGACTGAGGGGAATGAGGTAAAGTTGGACACAGGCTCTGTGAACCACCCAAACCACACAATCTGATCAATTGTCAAGGTACACATAGGTCAGCATTTGACCTCAACACACACCAGCCTTCAGCATGAATCACATCACCCTTCTACCTTGTCTCCTCCACCCATCCTCCAACTTCCACGGAGGTTAATTTCATGGTGATTTTAACATTCCACTCCTTTCCTAATCATTTTCCTAAGCTACTGTGAGGTCTCCTCAGTCTGCTCCTGCCCTCCTCCATCATTCAGAACATCAATAGGTTAATCTCCCTAAAAGGCTTTTTTTCTATCTTTTATGCCATTCCTCCCTTCTTCTAGAAACCAACCTTTCTTCTCCAACTTCGTTGTTGACATCCTGTACACACCTCAAGCACCAGTCCAAATGTAAGTCAGGATAATTAACAGTAATCTATCCCTAGGTCAGTCTGACCCCATGGGCAGTTTGAGGGTTGTCAAATAACCTGCAAAAAGTTTGAAACTCATTCTTGGTGTCCATTCTGAGACCAGACTAGTGTCAAACTTATGAAGAAATTTTTAATTTTAGATTCATTCATTTAAGTCTCTATCTACCTGTCTATCTATCCATCTAAATTTGTTAAGCCCACAATCTGGGCAAGAGTCCATTCTTACACTAGAGATACAATATTGATTAAGTCACTGCCTATGTTTTTAAGGACCTCGCAAGAGAGACAGATACAAATAAATTTCCCACAATGAATATAGGAAATAATAAAGGCACATAAGAAGGAACCACTATATCCACTCAAGGAATCAGGAAAGACTGCATTTATTGATTGCTTATTATGTGCCAGATATTCTTCTAGGTGATTTACATTCACTCATTTAAGGCCAACAATAATCCTTTGCAGCAGATATTATTATAGCCATTTTATAAAGGAGGCACTAGAGAAGCTAAGCAAATTGATCAAGTCATACAGCTAGTAAATGAAGAGGCCAGAATTGAGCTCAGGCAGTCTGGCTCCAGAGCCAAAGCTCCTAACTACAATATTATCCTTCTTCCAGAGAAAAATCTTGAGAGATGTGTTGAGGATCTGGACTTATGGTCAGCTTCCCTTGGTCTACCACCTCAACTACATCTTGACAATGGATGTACTAGGGACTATAGAAAGTGGGAGACATATTGGCCCAGTGGGAAAAGTTTTCTAGAGGAAAGTTTTCTAGAGTTTCTACCCTGGTTGTTGGGCTGTGTTAGTTGAGCCCACCTAAATCAAGAATTTCCTGAAATCTCCTTTACCTGGATCTGATAATGGCCCCAAGAATCTATGGATGCCCTCTCTTCACTTCTTTCTCCAGTAGAAGTAGAAAGAAGGCATCTATCAAAATTACAGAGCTTCAAAGAATAACAGAATCTCATCCAATATTCTGTGAACTGGATGCAGGAATACTGCCACTTACCTTTGGGAAAACATCTCTCTGGTTCTTTTTTGGGAATCATTTCAGGCACCCGCCCAAAGGGATCCTGTGGATCGATGGTGCTACATTCTGAGAGCACACTGGTAGTATCACACTTCTACCCATCAGAACAAAGGAAAAGGGGAATCATTTACCAAGAATAACTCTCACAATGGTAGCACCTAATACCTTCATGTATGACTTTTTAGGAATGAAGCTAGCTAGGCAAAAGATTCTAGGTATAGGTGTATCTAGAAAGTGTCCCTCTCGTTGGGTGCTTTTTAAAATGCTCTGACTAGCTCTGACTTTAGGAGAGAATTCTCTAACTGCTCTCCCCTGGCTTAAAAAAGGTGAGATATATAAAGACACAGTATCTCAACCTTTTCCTCCCTACAAATCATATCTCTGATACTACCTAACTCCAAATAGAGAGGCTGGGTGATGTGAAGGCTATTTTACTGAGACTAATTTTTAGCTCTTTCAATTCCCAGAATAATAGGTCTAGACTAGTGGTTCTCATTGATTTTGCCCTTCAGGAGACATGCTGACAATGTCTAAAGACACTTTTAATTTCACAACTGGGGATACTATTGATATCCGGTGGGTAGATGCCATGGATGCTGCTAAACATCCTACAACAAACAGAACAGCCCAGCACAAGGAGGAATTATCATGCCCCAAACGTCATAGTGGAGAGTTTAAGAAACCCTGGCCTTTGCTTAAGATCCAATTCTGGCATTTTACGCTGCATTAATCCTGATATTTTAATCTCGATAGCCATAATGGCTATGTTGGAAAATGTGTATAGATAAGCTACATGTTCCCTCTGGAACACCCTGGGAAAATTACCTTTTGGGGATCCTTTTCTGACAAACATATGTCGTCTTCAGAGAACACATCAATTTCCACACTTTGAGCTGCTGGGCTGATGGACTTCTTGGTCACCTGATGGAGTTCAAAGGCCTGACACCAAAAAGCCCAGAGTAGAATTAATATTCTCCTGGGCATTTCACTTGAGATAAAACAAGTTTGAATTGTGACATTATTACATTCTTTTTACTTTTTAAAACTGCTCCTGGAGAAACTCAACATAAAATAATTCTGGGAAAACTACTATAGGAAACAGGTAATGAAACTTACTCAAAAGTCATATAATCAAACAATATGGTTTTGGTACAAAATTCACCAAATAATTCAGAGGTGAAACTTACTGTATCATTTCACTTCAATGGCTAAATAATAAATTATTTAATAAGTGGTATAATTAGCTATCCCTGAAAATATAATATAATGCCAGAATATAGTAAAAATAAAATCCATAATGATTTGATATACTGATATAAAAATACATGAGTTAAAACGTTAGAAGAATAATTTGGAAAATAATTTTTTTATTCTTTGGGGTATAGAGGGTTGGCTCAGTGAAATAGAAAAGGGCATAAAGAGAAAAATGAAAATGTATTACTATATAAAATAAAAAATAAATTTTGTCTGATGACCTGCAGGTATACCCAAGAAAGATGTACAAAGTCATGCCTTAGCTGAGGGTTTCATCCTAAAATCTATGTGAGTGTTCCTGTGATTCTGACACTATAAGGTCATAATTTAAGAACACTTCTCCCATTTGAACACATGCATTGATATGTTACAAACACACACACACATACACGAGAAACAAGTAAATATAGCTGTGGACCAGACACAGAACAGAAATATGAAGTAGTGACAATTTAAAGCATGTAGCAGGTAATGATGACTAAAAATGCCCCATGTGAACAGCTATGTTCAAGGCTTGAAACTATGGACTGGGCTGAAGTTCTTGCACTTGAGAGAGAAAGCCAAAACAAGTTGTGGCCAATGTTTGGAATTATAATTATACACAGCTGCATGGAGGCAGGAGGAAGTACAGCCTCAGAAATAGGATCTAAGTAAAGGTACCCACTGGATCTGAAATACACCTAGTATCACTATTAGACAAGAATCCTAAATTGTCAATGTAAAACTTGGTTCTGTAGTGGCTGCCCTAGGAAGGTTTATTAAAGACATCATAGAATGTCTCAATTAGACTGCAAAGAGAGTGACAGATCTTCTCACTAAAGAGAAATTTAAACTAACACTCCAAAATATAGGAGGAGACAAACAAAATCAGTAGCCCTAAAAATTAACTACTAGGAGGTGAATTTACTTGAGAAAGAAAAATGAAATTAGTATAATAATCTGAAAGTGTCGTTAAAATGAATAAGTTTGGGATTTAACGAAAAAGATATATAGAATTTCACTTCCTGGAGGGCAACTTAAAGGCAGCTCCATGGACATGATCTCCAGAGAAATAAGTATAAGTGGTGAAAAATATTTTTTAAAAAATCATTTAAAGTCTCTGGAAATTGTCCTAAGGCATACAGCAAATGAAGAAACGTATTCAAAAAAAATCTGGAAGCCCTACTCTAGGCAGCTGTGATCAAGAAGATGGGGCTCCCTTTACCCTCAGCCCCCAATCAAGAAATATGTATCTTATGATATGTACATAATATGTACATATGTATCAGGAGGTGTAGATCACCAACTTTTCTCGTCCTCTCCAACTCGGAGTTGAAGAGGCTACATTCCTCATGAATATGGCCAAGAAATTGGGTTCTGTTTTTCCATCCAGCCTCTACTCATAGGACAGAGACTCTATTCCAGATTCACCAGCTTGAGAATACTGGGGTCTTGATCACCCTCACCCCAGCTAGTTTATAAGGAAGAGGTTCCATGCAGAAAGAAGGAAGCTGAGAAGATGAGAGGCTACTGCCCCTACAAGTACTTGGATTAGTAGCTAAGAGATTTTGCCTATGGTAGAAGGCATTCCATAAGAAACAAGAACTCTGAAGCTCTCCCCAAAAGAACTGACTTTATCTGGAACAATGTGTGTGTGGGGGGGAGGGGGCTCAAGCCTAAGGGTATTCTTGAAAACAATGGAGACTTTGATGGTAAGCAAATAAGAAGAGACTAGTAGCTCTTCTTCATTAAAAGCAACAAACTAAACCACAGGTCAACAAGTTCACTACAGAGAACCATGGAAAGAGACAGCTAAGAAGAATCTCCCTGGGGTTAGAACAAATCTCAAGGACTGGCCTTGTAAGTATCCCTCCCTGAAATTAATTAGATCAGACTGTGGAGGAATTAAAGCCCTGTAGTATTGTCAAAGACAATAGAGCAATTAGCCAGCAATTAGTTCAGCCCAAAATCTGGGTGCGATACCAAATAAAGCAGACAGATTAACAGAGAGAGCATGGAAAGATAGTCAAAGAGAGTCCTGCTAAAATAACTGTGATCCTGCAGTGACTGTCTGCAAACCCAAGGGTGTGCCCTCTGAGGAGTAACACCAAAGACTTCACCTTTGTGTGTGTGTGGTGAGGGGAGGTAGGGGAATAGACTTCACTAGAACAGTCTAGGCAAGTCACCAAACAAGCCCCAGAGAGGAGAAAAGGGAATCAATTCCAGATCTGCTACAATATATTACTTAAAATGCCCAATTTTAAACAAAAATGATAAAACATGGGAAAAACCCAGGAAGTGTGAGCCACACATAAGAAAAAAGCAGGCAACATAAACTGCCCGTGAGAGGCCTGGGTGCCAGAGTTAATAAACAAAGAATGCAAAGCAGTCATTATAAATATGTTCAAAGAATTAAAAAATATATTTAATGATATAAAGGATGCTATGATAACAATGTATAATCAAATAGAGAGTATCAGTGTAGAGATAGAAGTTATTTAAAAAACAAATAAAAATTCTAGAGTTGAAATGTGTGATAATTGAAATGAAAAATTCACTAGGTGGAGCAACAATATATCTGAACTGGCAGAAGAAATAATCAGTGAACTTGAAGAGGGATCAGGAAAGATTATGCAATCCAAAGAGCACAGGAAAGAAGAATGAAAACTTAAAGGAAGCTCAAAGGAATGTAGAACACCATGAAGCATATCAATCAGAAAGAAAAGAGAGAAAGGAGAGCAGAATAATGGCTGAAAACTGCCCAATTTTGACTGAAAGTATTAATCCACACCTCTAAGAAGCTCATAAAACTCAAAGTAGGATAAACACAAAGAGATCCAATCATAGTAAAATATATATATATATATATATAATAGTAAAAATGCTGAAAGCCAAAGACAGAGGAAATATTGAAAGTAACAAGAACAAAGTTGCTCATTGCATACAAGGGGATCCCAAGAAAATTAACAGCTGACTTCTTCTTCTTCTCCTTTTTTTTCTTTTTTTTTTGTAGGCTCTGTGCCCAATGTGGGACTTGAACTCATGACCCTAAGATTACAAGCCATGTACTCTACCAACTGAGCCAGTCAGACACCCCAACAACAGAGACTAGAAAGCAGTGGAATGAGATACCATGAGTGCTGAAATTAAAAAACAAATGTGAACCAAGATTTTATTATCCAGCAAAACTATTTTTCAAAAATGAAGATGAAATAAAATAGCACACAAACAAAAATGGAAAATCCTTTGCTAGCTGACCCACCTTACAAAAAATACTGAAGATCCTTCAGGCTGAAAGTAAGTGATCCTAAATGGTAATAAAAGTCCACACAAAAGAGCAAAGAGCACAGGTAAAGGTAAGTCTGTAATTATAAAAGATGAGAAAAATTCATATTTATTTTCCTTTCTTCTCTAAAGCAGACTTCAAAAGAAGTTGTCTAAAACAGTTTAAAATTAATGTATTATTGGACATGGAACATATAAAAATAAAATATATGTGGTAATAACAGCACCAAAGAGGTGAATGGGAGCAAAGTTGTAGTAAGGAAATGACACCTGAAGGTACCTCAAATTCACAGAAACAAATGAAGAAAGCTGGAAATGGTAAATAAGAAGACTAATAAAATAAACTCTATAAATATATACTTTCTTTTCTCAGCTTCATTAGTAAACATATAATTATATGAAGCAATGATAAAAATGTATTGTTGGGTTCTTAACATATATGGATATAATACATATAATAAAGAATAGTACAAAAATGTGGTAGCGGGAATAGAGCTATACATGAGTAATGTTTCTGTATCTCACTAGAATTAAGTTAACTTACCAGACATCAATTGTGATAAGTTAGATGTATGTGGCAGCCCCTAGAGCAATTAATAAGAAAATAACTAAAAAAATATTGTGAAAAATCATTAAAGGAATTAAGATGTTTCATTAGAAAATATTCAAATAATGCAAAGTAAGGCAATAAAAGAAGAAAAGAGGAATAAAAACAAAAAGTAAAATACTAGAAATAGATAAACTAGATCAATAATAATATTAAAAGTGAATGGGTTAAACAATCTAACAAAAAGGCAGAAACTGTCAGGCTGGATAAGAAAACAAGATCCAATTATGTACTGTCTATAGGAAACACATTTTAGACTCAAAGATACAAACAGTTTTAAAGTAAAAGAATGGAAGAAGCTATCATACAAGCAGAAACCATAAGAAAGCTGGAGTGACTATATTAATGTCAGAAAAAATAGACTTTGTGTTTTCTTGTTTGTTTGTTTTTAAGATTTTATTTATTTATTAGAGAGAATGAGAGAGAGAGAGAGAGCACAAGGGGGGGAGTGGGAGAGGGAGAAGCAGACTCCCCGCTGAGCAGGGAGCCCTATGCGGGACTTGATCCTGGGACTCCAGGATCATGACCTGAGCCAAAGGCAGTCGCTTAACCAACTGAGCCACCCAGGTGCCCTGTTTTTTTGTTTTTTAGAGAGAGAGAGAGCACACGAGTGCAGGGATCTTAAGCAGGCTCCATGCCCAGTGCAGATCCTGAGAAGGGGCTCAATCTCATGATCCAGAGGTCATGGCCTGAGCTGAAATCAAGAGTTGGATGCTTAACCAACTGAGCCACCCAGGTGTCCCAGACAAAATAGACTTTGAAACAAAAAAATTTACTAGAAATAAAGAGGGACATTTCACAATGACAAAAACAT